CACACACACACACACACACACACACACACACACACACACAGACATACACATACACGCACACAGACACACACACACTCACACCCCGTCATTTTTTGCGGCAGCGCCACAAAAACCGTCTACTTCAAATATGAATTTCAGGTGTGGGGGGATGATGGAAAGATGCATGCCGCTCATGAGGGCATATAGCACAGGGACGGGTGAAATGGGACCGGCGGTGCCCTTACTGGGACTGGCGGTCCAGTAAGGGCACCGCGGAAAGCTGTGCCCCTTGCTGACAGGGGCCTGCAGGAACGTTCAGAGGCCCCAGGGGGACGGCCGGGTAAGTCGGCAGTCGAAGGGGCATGACGCAAAATAATGGAAATTACAGGGGCGCCAGAATTTTTTCCAAAAAAAAGTACCGACAATGTAGGTCACACCAAGGTAGCAACACTGTAGGTAATGACAAGGTAACAGCGTTGTGACAACAAGGTATAGGGCATCATTTTCTATGACCCACTGGTTGTCTCAATTTACCCCAATCTTGTGTTTGTGATGGCGTTGTGCAGAGAATGAACCTTACAACTGTTGTCGGAAGGAGTGCTGTCATGGAGCGCCACGTGGAGGATAGTCTTGCGCTGTTGCCGGTCATCACCTCCTCTTATCAGGATCTAGAGGGAGGCAGGACAAATGGAAGAAAGGGAGAAGGTGGTTTGATGGCACAGAGGCTCCGTGTGGTGGATGTTGGCACTGGTGCAGGTCTGCCTGGAGTGATTCTTGCAATCGCAAAGCCAGGTATTCTCTGGCTGCAAAATCCGGTTAGTCATTTACTATGCCCATCTTGTGGTCATTCCGAGGCACGGGAAGCATTGATTCTTATTCTATTTTTAATCCTCACTGCATGTGGCCGAGACTTTGCTCTCGCATTCCGGAGAAGATGAGAAAATGTCCTTTCCAGAGCGCAATCTGTGTGACTTTAATGCTTTAATAAGCATGCTGCTGGTATTTCTGAAAAATGAATGTTAGTAGTACTTGGTACATACACACTGAAATTCTCGGCAGTTGTCCTCCTCAAGGGCCCCCACTCCCTTATAATTTTGTAAAAGGGGGTTAGGCCCTATCAATATTTTATCCATCAGGATTTGAACTCCTGATCTGCTTGTCAACAGTCACATGTGTGCGCCATTCATCCACAAGTCTTTCTCTGCTCTTACTTCGGGTTCCTTGAGCTACATGGGACCAGGACCTATGCTTCATTTAGGAGTGCTTCTGGTTTTGGATGAGTCGGGTGGACAGCCTTGGACAAGCTGTGCATACATGCTGTTGACTTCGGATTTTGTTAAAGGTCAAGCCTCCACCACTTCAATCATAAGTCCGGCTAGCAGCTGACGAGTTTATTATGCAACTCCGAATTTCCTTGAGCTGTATGCATGGCCCTGCTGCAGTTGTTAGAAACTCTTGGAAAAGAGAAGGAAAGAAAAGAAAAGAAGAAGAAGGAGAAGTGACAAGTGACGGCCTGATTGCTTCCGAAACATGCTCTCTCAAAACAATGCTTTAACACATATTCAGGCCGTTGGCCACTTATCCATGTAGAGCTGCTCATACGTGTACGTGCATGTGTGCGTTATGATGACCTTTCGTCAGATTGTATCATCTCTTTTTCCGACTTGATTGTGTGGCAGCCGACACCGATGCCGAAGGTTTGCACAAGCAGAAGAGTGCAGACTCACTTTGAGCAATCCGATGCACTGATCATTTCTCGCTCAATCCACCACATTGCAATTGGCAAAGAGCCATTGTTCATGACCATTTCATTTCTTTGCTTTTATAGGTGTTTTGGCCCATATGACAACACGTACATACACAGCAAGTGGGTGTTTTCTTTTTTCTTTGGGCGGGGGGGG